GTGAGTTTGCAGGGTCTTTTGCCTGCAAGCTTGTGCAGAAAGTGGCAGGCCTTGCTACCAGCACAGCTTTGATACTCCATAAAAATCCTATGCAGCATTGTGGTGCTGCAGAACCCACAAACCCTCCAATGAGTTGCTCACAATCAGGACACTATTGTTACCACTACTGTCAGGCTTAATGTTATCACTTCAATGAGTGGCTCCCACTAAGCACACTTTTACTATCATTATTGTCAGACTTCATGTTATACCTCCAATGAGCACTCAAACTCAGCACACTATTATTCATCATTATTGTCAGACTTCATGTTGTACCTCCAATGAGCACTCAAAATCAGCACACTATTATTATCATTATCATCAGACTTCATGTTATACCTCCAATGAGCACTCAAACTCAGCACACTAATCATTATTGCCAGACTTAATGTTATACCTCCAATGAGTGCTCAAACTCAGCATACTATTATTATCATTATTGTCAGACTCAATGTTATACCTCCAATGAGCACTCAAACTCAGTGCACTATTATTATCATTATTGTCCAACTTAATGTTGTCCCTCCAATGAGCACTCAAACTCAGCACACTATTATTATCATTATTGTCAGACTTCATGTTATACCTCCAATGACCACTCAAACTCAGCGCACTATTAATACCACTTTTGTCAGACTTCATGTCAAATTCTTCTCACAATAACCAAACCATGCTGATGGAGGACCACTAAGGACAACTCATATTTTGATGGCACTATGTAGCCACATGGCAACCCCGAGCATTCACTTCAACTCATACCAAATGTATGGAAACAAGGTTTTTCACTCAGCACCAGCTTGCATGCCCTTGGGCCAGCACACAATGGCAAGCTCATGATTCCATGTGCATATGTATATGAAAATGGAAGATGGCTTTTTAGATTATAACACATATAGATTATAAGCAGCTGATACATACAGCAGCACATGACAATATATATGACAGCATAATAACATAATATGGCATGATAAGACAGCATGCTGGCACATTTATCACACTGACACTTAATGAAAATTCACACTGAGCTTGAAAAAATGCAAAGATATCAGTGATGCAAACAAAAAGTCCTTAAAAAAGAACATCTATTTAGAGGGTAACCACTATGTCAGTGCACTGAAAATGTTCCTTGAAATCAAACCTGAACACATTGCTATAAGTATGGCAGCCATGAACTTGATGTTATTCTATTTAATATTCTTTATACTTTTAGAAGGGTAAATAAAAATCATAAGCTGATGGAATAAACAAAAAATGTATTATATAGATTTACAAGGATCACAGGAATTTGGCTTAGGGTGCAACACAATGTAGGCCTATATGCTCACCCTAGTAACTGGTACACTCTACCTGTTCTTCTTTTGATAAGTCACAAACAATGCATGGCAATTGCCTGTACTTCTTAGTATGCACATTATAAAACAAATTACTGCCCTAAAAATTGGTTACAACCTATAACAAATATGGATTTCAAGCTAGATGAGACATCTGCAAGAACATAGACTAGACATGCCTATTCCAACTTCTGCTGAAGTCTTTGTCTAGGATGTTTGTTCTTGTGAGTCAACAAATCACTAAAACAATACCATAAATGTGAGATTATTCCAAAGCAAACATTCAATTAAAACAGCATGTGTTATTGTGCTGCCTATTGTCTTCAAGACAAGTGGATAAATGACAGCCAATAGCTCTATATCAGTGAGCTTCCCAACATCCTAGAAATCTTAACATGGCATTCCCTCCCATGAACTGCATATTGATGATCAGTGTTTTCAGCAATGATTTCAAAACACATTCAAAAAATTAATCTTAACAAAAATACCACATGTCTCAAGCAGCAGTAAGTCTCAATATAAAGCACAACAGATTGGAAAGTGTTATATGATGAGAAACACTGCTCTCACAACCAACAATGAAATCAAACCTGCTGAGCTGCTTCTCTATAATAGAATTCCAGCCATTCTCTTAATCCATACTGTGCTCTATAATAAATCAGAACACTATTGATGCACAATTTATGTAAGTTTGAAAGCAATTCAAGATCTGCTGAGGACAATAATTTTGTATGCATTTGCAAGTAGCAAGTTAATGATCACTTGTGTCTTATCAATTTATCTATGGGGTATATATAACCCAAAACAACTAGATTGCCATGTTAGCGATCAAAAATGCATCATGCTACAAACTGGGCCACTTTTCATGGATTTTTCTCTTAGCACCCCTGGCAGATTCATTGGGAACATAATGCATGAAAAGTGCCATGACAATCCATGAAAGCACGATGGAGATATAAAAAAGACACTAAATACAGTTGCCTAGACAAAAACTTTGATTCTATGGATAGAGGTATGATCAGTAATGCATGCCTTTCAAATGCAGAATGTACTCAAATACCCTTAGCATTCAACAAGCATGGATATCAATATTGCAATGGCTCATTACAATACAAATAACCTACTCTTAGCCAGAATACCTCAGCCAAGCATAAGACTACATTACTTTTCACATTTAAGTGCAAAGAACACACTGGAAACACACCTAGATAGCTAGTTCCAAAATATGGATGTTACATGCTATAAATAGAATCATGGACTAAAATATATCGCACCTTATATTACGAAACAAATTTTCAAACTGCTTGCAAGTGCAGCCTTTTACATACCAAAAACAATGACAAGTTATAGTTTATTGTATCCATACACACTAAGATACTATGCCAGTGACCAAGCATAGCAGGTCACTGATATGTGGACTAGTCAAGATGTGCACTACAGTCTGGAATTATCAAGCAGAATAGTTTGATATTGTGTCAAGTTGGAAATCCTGTTTAAAAACAGCAGATGCCAATAGAATGTTCCTCACAGATTTAACCCCAATAATGTCAGGCTCTGCAAGCTGAACCAAAGAAGCACAAAGAAAAAACTGGGTCACAGAACAAGCACACTGCAAACATGCAATACAGTGCCATGAAAGGTTGAAAAAAGCATGAACTTAATATTAACTTCACCAATATGCCCGGAGATGACATTTTACATGAATGTAAGTCACACTCAAGATACCTCCTGTCACATGGGACATGGGTGCACCTCTCACCACTTACCTAGTTGGACTGGAGGTAAATCACAGAGTGGAAAGGACATTTAAATGCATGCTTGGCAATTAATAGGTGTACCAAATGCCAGAAGTTATGTTAACTTACCTCCAAATCATTGTAGGTCTTGAAGGATGCAATCGCAAATCCATCAACAATGTCTTCCTCATACAATGGTTCTCTTATTTTCCTTCGACGATGAAGAGGTCTCGGCGGTTTCTCAGCGCACTAACACTTCATCGTCGCCAGTTTCATTTCCATTTTTCGCGATTCTTTTCACCTACCGGCCTTCATACGCTGGGCACGGCGACGCCGATTGCGTTGCCTCACATCTCTTTCCATCACCCTTGCTCATAAGTGCTTGTGACAGAGCGCGGTAACCGGAATACTGCAAATCGGTAACTGCTTTCCACCATTCAAAAATGAATACAATAACACCGGAATCCCGTCCGAGGTAGAAATATTCGATATTATTACCAACCCACACACGGACCTGTGCCACACCGAAGACAAACCTCACGCACCTGTTTTGTTTAAATGGCGGAGGGGCAGCGACGGTCGCAGACATTTGTACACATCTCGGTGATATAGTGATTTGGACAAAGATTTCGATGAAAATGCGACTAAATTGATCTTTCATAATATTTAAATCCTATTTGGATAAATTTGGAAGAAAAATGAAAATAATTGTTGTCATAAATGATGATTGTATCCCTTTTAGTTCGGTCACGCTAAAAACGTAGTCCTGAGCGCGCCACTGCAAGATGTGTTCATCCGCGGAAGGTCTATTTCTTGAAGTGTAGTATCTAGTTTACATCTGGCCGGATACACTGTTTCTTCTTCGCTGCTTTACTGATTCCTTGCACAACACTTTTTTTGATATGCATCAATTTGTTTTATATACGTTTATATTCTAAAAACAGCAGCATAAAAAAATATTCGCTTAATGTTATTTGCATTCATTAAGTTTGTTTCGAGTTTTGTTGACTTTTGATTAAAAACAGTTCAAATTGTATCCTAGTTTCCTCGTTTTCTTAGAATTAATGTATTGCTTACGTTAAGTAGAAATCACGGCTAAATACGTTAAGTAATAAGGTAACAGCAAATTTCGTTGTCTCTTTTCCGGCCTATTCCGTATCACCAACGCCAGATTTGTATCCAATATTGTTGACGGACTTGCAGAGCAGAAACTGTGCCGTCAGGAAGTGCTGAGTTCTGCTTGGCGGAGTGGGGGTAGGTGTCTAAGACTGGTTCATTATTTAAGCACTCATTATCATGTAGGACACCACGAACACCGTGAACCAATTGCATGTGAGTGATGAACTAAGCTAGGCAAAATTACATTGCTTTCTTTGAGCATTTTGCTTAAAAAACTGGTGATTATTTTTGCCTAGAGCTACCTTAGCAATATCAGAATGATACGTTTGGTGCAGCTGTGGCTAACCCAACCTGTCTCCTGAATATTAAATCTCTTAATTCATATCATTGATGATGTGGACCACCCCTGCAGCATGGACTCCTCAATAAAGACATTTTCATCCAAAAATTTCATAAGGCCAATCAAAATTCACTGCTGGTGAATAAGCTGGTTACTGAACCTGATTATGTCCTTAGATCAATTGACTGGCATTGTTTCTTATCAAATGAAATGTTGCATAAATTCATGTTGTAGAGAAGAATGGAGTGATCCTGCCCTAGCTTTCATCATAAACCAGCATGTTTTTGTTTCAGCAGATACCCAAATGCAAGGATAGACCAACAAATATGAAATTCATGGAGCCAGAAGAAGAGGATGATGAGCTTGAGTATTATGTGACATTTCCTGCTGCTGTGTCACCTGAGTTTCATGAAGATGGCTATTCGGAGCCTGAAAAGGGAGCCAGTTGTATTCCTGTTTGGCTGGGCAGGTTGCAATGACAGGCATCTGTCCAAGTATGCAGAAATGTACAAGGATTTGGGGTAAGCAAGCTAGCAATTGACAAGGGTAATAACTGTATGCTGAGCCTCCCCCATGCCCACACTGTGAAGAGCTGCACTGTGCAGCTGATTGGAGGAAGATAATGTTGCTCACATGACAAGGAATGAAAATATATACCCCATCAAACACATTCTACCGCACCAATTGAGCCAGGGAAGGTTGAGCATCTTTGAGTCTTTTGGAGGGTGTTGATGATTTTTATTAAATATATGATGTTAGTTTTATCTGATTTCATATATCATTAAAGTTAATATCTGAATAATATCATATGTCCAGTGAATGCTGTCTTTGCCTGCAAAAAGGCACTGAAATATCAAACTTTCATCAGCTCAGCTCATAGAGCATTTGCACATGACATTCTTAAGTCCTGGGCTTGAGTTTCACATGAGGTTCATGTTTTCATTGCCTGTCAGATGAACAATATCTGTCTGTAAGGAGGCTGAACAATGCATTCCTTCATAGCCAGATTTTGGAAAGAATTAACACACAATATAACCTCACTTCCAAACCACCGACGATGTGCCACCATCCCGCTACATCAGCCCAGTCAACTACATCTTCTTCACACCGCGCGAGCTGCTGGGCGTGGCTGACCAGCTGATCGACCTGGTGACGGACCTGACACTGGAGGTGCACCCGGTGCTGTTCCACTGCTTCAGCAATGGCGGCGCACTGGTGTACCGCTGCCTGACGCGGCGTCTGCGTGAGCGCCGGCTGCCACTGGACGTGCGCGGCGCCGTGTTCGACAGCGGCCCGCTGCGACCGCGGTTGGCCAGCGGCTGGCGAGCCCTCCAGCTCTGCTCCGCAGGTGCGCCGCGCCCCTCAGCAGCCGACCGCCACTCGCGCACCTCGCTGGCGTGAGGAGGAGCAGGGGTGGAGAGATGCTGGTCTTCAGGCAATGTGGGCTGGTTGGAGCCAGTCGGGTGGCTGTGTCAGCAGGCTGACATCAGTACTGGGCCTGTCTTCGGATGTTGCATCGGGCTGTCGAATCGACGTCATGTTTGTTTGGACTCCATGCTGGTGTCTGGGGTCCTGGTGTGGATTTCGGGTAAAGCTTCCTCCTGTTCTTCTGTTTGTCTTGCTGTATCACGTGGGCGCCGTGGGCTAGGTTGGCCCAGTCCGTGCCGCGCACGGGCCGCAGCCAACCTGAGCGCGTCGTGCCGCCCTCGCAGGCCAGCAGCGCTGGTACCGCTGGCTGCTGGGCGTGCTGTTCATCCTGCTGATTGTCTGCCGCTTCGTCTGGGAACGGACGCTGGGCTCGCGCGAGGACTCACTGCACCCCTGGAGTCTGACGGAGAGTCCCGAGCGCTGGCCGCAGATGTTCCTCTACTCCAGCGCCGATACGATCACTCCGGCCAAGGTCAGGCCTGTTGCCCGCGGTTGTCATGGGCGGAGACGGTTGCGCGGGAGGCGGGTGGTAGGAGTCCTGTCCCTCAGAAAACCGCGGTCAGGAAACCGCGGGTCTTTACGTCATGATGAGGAGTCGGGTTAACTTCGCCCAGCGACCAGAAGCGAGGTGTGCAGTATTCGCTCCTGGTACCTCTTCGATCTCGGAATACTGACTTTCTGTTCTTTTGTACTAGCGTCAAACTCGTGTATCTGGTACGAAAGACAAACTGAACGCTGCCCGCCTGTGCATGTTGACTTTCCAGCGAAATTTGCCATGAGCTCTGCTCAAGACGACGCCAGTAGTAGCCACGCGCCGACGACACCAGAAGCGAGCGGCGCCGGCGGGTGGCGAACCGCCCGCGAACCGCCCCTCGCGCCGTGCTGACCAGCCCTGCCTCATCCGCCGACAGGACGTGGAGCAGTTCATGGCGGCGCGCCGTGCCCGCGGCGTCGACGTTACAGGCCACGTGTTCGCCGACTCGGCGCACGTGCTGCACTACCGCGCCGAGCCCGAGCGGTACCAGCGCGCTGGTGGCCGAGTATGTGGCGCGCGTGTGCGGGCCCGGCTCGCGCGCCGGCTCGCCGGGGCTCGGCCGGCCCGGCTCTGGCTCACCGCGCCGCCGCCACGCCGGCGACAAGGGAGAGTAGCGCCGCCGGCCGGCGCGGTGCCTCCGCACCCGCCACCGCGCCGGTCCGGTGCGGCCCCGACGCCGGCCGACCGGCCGGCCCAGGGTCACGCTGGTGACCAGGCGGGCGTGCAGGGTCCCCGTGCCAGGCGGGGAGTGCGCGGACCCGGGGTATCGGGCGGCCGGTGGGCACGCCTCCTCGTCCGGCCGAGTCCCGGGATCCACGCCGGATCACCACCCGCTGCCACCGGCCGCCAGCATGGCCGGACGGGGCTTCGCGCGCTGCAAATCTGCGACGGGTTGTCACTGCTCGAGGATCGGCCCGATCCAGTTGCCGCTCGGCCGCTCGCACAGCGAACTTATGCACGCCAGCGCGATCCATTTCAGTTATCCACGCGGTGTGTTCGTTAGATGCACAAGCGAGTTGTCGGGGTGCACAGGTGATAGTCGAGAGGTGCGCAAGAGGGCAGTTGAGAGGTGTACAAGGGGGATAGTCGAGGGATATATAGAGGGGATAGTCGAGAAGCGCACAAGAGGATAGTCGAGAGATGCACAAGGGGGATAGTCGAGGCACTGTCGCCCGGTTCGTCTGCTCTGTGCGTGGATGTGTAAGGGGGCCGTGATCAAGTCGAGTTCCCGTCCTGATCGATGCTGTGACGATGGGCGGCCGTCCCATCACTGCCTTTATGCTAGTCACTCGTCTCCCCCCTTCTCCCTTCCTGAGGGGCAGCAGTCCGTGGGCTGCCGTGTTCACCGTGTGGGGACTCGAGGCGGTCTCGGTGGCACTGGCATGACCATTGTGGAATGAGCCGCCTGAGGTGCCTCCCAGCTGTCGATCACCACGGGAGATGTTGGAAGTGGGATGTATGTGGTGTACACGCAGGTCGTGCTGCTTTTCCGACATGTACGTGCCAGTCGGATATGCTGAAGAGCCACCTCAGAAACCTTTCGATCTCAATCGTACCTGCCGGGGCAGGCCTATCAGGGACTTAGTCGGAAGACGCCCCGATGTTGTGAACCGGACTGTTATTTAAAAACTATGTCGCTCATGCATAGTATTGAGTGTCGCGCTGTACCGCTCTGCGTGAGCTGTTTGCACAGTGCGTCGGTGTAATGAAAAGTGGGCCAGACCATCTGAGCATTGCTCGCTTGCTGAAGGCGTTGTCCAGCAGGTTCAAAATCGTCCCAGCGTGGAAGCCGCGTCCAAATGTGCGCCATGCATGCATCGTTGCCTTGCCCGTCCGTGGCTGTGGCGGCGGCAGTTCCAGCGTTCTGGAGCAGTTCTTTTGCCTGTGCGGCGAATGACGATTGGTACGCATCAGCATGTTGCCTTCCGCAGATGTCAGCGACCGCCGCCATGAGAAGCTGTGACGATTCAACTTGCGTTTTTCCCGCTGTTTTTGCTGTCTGACACCTGCCGCATTGTTTTCCGCCATTACACCGCTGCGCGCTGTCGGTCGGCGTCTGTTGGACTTGTCACCAGCATAGCGGGAGAGGCACAGAGCTGCAGTGGCGGACCGGCCGGCGCGCCGCACGCACCAGGCGCGACGTGCGACGGTGGCGCGGCCAGCTGCCGGGGGTTTACTCAGGAGGCGGTCACAGCTGGTCACAGGGGTTGCGCCAGTCAGGGCCGGCTCAGGATCGGGGTCATCGGGGTCACTTAGCCGGAGTTCTAATGCTCTTCATCTATGGGCTATTTTTCTGGTATTTGTTGGCTCGAAATTATATTCGATACCTTCTATTTGATACCTCCGAGAGGGTCCGTTTTATGCTCAGAAAGCACTAGGGGTGTCTTAGATTGCCAACCAACACCTAGAGCTTTATGTCTCGGGCACCCCCGCCACCTCCAGGGGAAGAGAGCATGACCCCAGAAGCCCACCCCCCGGGCTACGCCACTAGGTAGGCTTCGTTACGCGATTATCGCACTATTCATTCTCGCACTACCAACGTGTCTCAATCCCTGGCTGTGCGAGATGGACTGCCGGATACTGGCGAATGGTCGGTCGCAGCCACGAAGACGATGGTGCCATCTGTCGAGCGGTGGCAGAGGCCCGGCATAACCCCTTTCCTGTACTGCGGCCGCTGCCGCCACCCATGCACTTATTCCTTCGGAGGGCAAGCCGTTGCTGGCGAGCTGCCATCTTGTGGCCGGCGAGCCGCCCTGCCACTTTCAGCTGGAGATTGATCCCTTCCATGCTGTTCCTGGTTTCCACGTGCTTGGTCGGGCGAAGGGCCCAGTCCAGGTGCCGACGCTAATGCTGCCCAAACAAACACTTATTTTGTTTTGGAGACATGCTTTTTCCATGAATACGTGAATATTACAGCATCGGTATCACCATTTGGTTGAAGGAATACAAGCCTCTTGCACACAATGTGCACCATCTGGTCGTAAGTAGAATCATTAAGTCTGGAAGATAATGATAGTTTCAGCCATTTTCTGCTACCTCATTCTCAGTCCGCGTCAGCAGCTGGTCACTACTCACTGAGTCAGCAAAAAACTACCGGCGAATGTACAGGCAACTACATACATTCCGGTTACACCTAGGTTATACATTCCTTACAAGACAGACTGATGAAATATATAGATATATCAAAGCACTGTCATCAGCCAACAGTGTGCCGAAATATAATGCTCTCTCGCGAATACGCACTCAAAATACTATCCATAACAAGATCACTAGCGGCGAAAGTGGCGCTACGCACAAAATCTACCGACCACAAATCTGCCAGAAATGGAAGTAGAAACAATCATAAAGCCCATTTGAACATGCCCTGTCGTTGTGGCGCACGTGGTCCGGCGCCTCAGTGGCAGTTATGACCCACTCCGCCCGGCAGCCTGACTCGCGGAGAACCTCCGAACATCACCGCATCCCCCAGACGTCGACTAGGCCGCAGGCCGGCACAGGGCCGCAGTGACGACGCTCCGAACGAAGCCAACTGGACACGAAACCACTTGAAAACGACGGCCGACTCGACACGAGCGACCCGTGTCACCAGCGATTAAACGGGAAGCCAGGCAACTGCGTCGCAGCCGGAGTGGGCCCCACAATCAAAACAATCTCGCGCGTGAGGCAGACAACGTGAACAGCGCGCTTTGCATGAGCTAGAGCGGATATCGAGAGCTCGCGTGCCGGGCGCCCGCGCGGCCTTCGATAAAATAACTTGTGGTAGGTTTGTGCATGCGCAATCACCCCGGCAGTCGTCTGTGCATGTGCCCTGCCGACCGACCTGGCCGACACTCTTCAGGAGCTGTGGGCGGGGTCGGCCGACCATCACGCGCCGCCGCGCCACCCGGGCCTCCCGGCGTTCGGTGAGATCTGGTCCACGGTCCGGGCCCTCCGGTCTGCCAGCTCCTCCACATCGACGACCCGGCACAGCGCCACCGGTGGCGGCCGGCACGACTGTCGCCCCCCCCCCCCTTGCCGCGGGGGCGGCGCAACCGCCGTCCGCGCGCCTAGAGCGGCTTGTCCACCTCCTCCCAGCCCTCGAGGTCGCCGGCCAGCTGGTAGTGCTGGCGCCGCAGCGCCGACAGCTGCACCCGCTCGCGCTGCAGCTGCGCCTCCAGCTCCAGCACGCGCACCTGCGCCTCCATCTCCTGCCGCTTGGTCTGGTGCAGTGACAGACTGCCAAAGTCGAACACGGCTGCCGGCGAGGACGCACCGTCACAGTCTAGGTAACCGTCACGGCCGGCAGTTCACGCCGCGGCAGACGGTCAAGGTCACGGGCAAGGCGCGCGGGCGACTCGTCCCATACTGCGGTGGATCGCTCGGCGCGGTGACTTGCACCGGAGCGCCAGCACCGGTTCCCAACGGAACGGCGGGCACACGATCGGAAGGGCAAAAACTGGTGCCACCGAGGCGACTGGCCGCGAGTACACATCAATGGGATGCGGCTCATTAGTCAGGTCAGACACAGGGGCGGTGAGGGACGGTACACTGGAGGTAAGGGGCGACCGGCCGCGAATACATATCAATGGGATGCCGCTCATTAGTAAGGTCAGACATAGAAGAACCTGTTCAATGATCTCGACACGGCAAAGCCTTGTGACTGAGAAACGCTCCGCTCCATGCGCCAGTACTCCTTCACACCCTTCATGCCAAAACAAGCTGCAAGGCACTGTAAGAGACGCTGCAAGTCTTCACGCCGGCTGCACGTGCGCGCAGTGACATACCTTTGTCCTCGACCAGCTGCATACAAGACTTGGCGGTGGCCACCACGGAGCCGGTGGCTTCCGAAACACCGCGCGACGCCTGACCGAGGTTCGCCAGGTTCTTGCTCTGGCGGTCGGCTGGAGATGCGTGGGTCAGGTCAGGTCAGCTGAGGTCACGCAGGTTTACTGGGCTCGCTGTTCATCGGGATGTACCGAGCTGCTGCTGTGCGTCCCTGACCCCGTGACGGGCTCTGGTGTCGGGTGACACGCAGTTCCATGCCCGCCGCCATTTCAGGATCGTGGTGGGAAACACGTTCACTAAATCTTCAAGCGCCGGGGGTAAAACAAGCCGCAAAGCCCGCCTTGCGACGACGCAACGATTTCAGCCCACGCGTTTGGCAGGACCAAACGCGCGTCAGTTCGTCATCGTAGACAGGGCATACATACTACGAACAATGTCGGAACTTCGAAACCACCCGACCGATGCAGACACCGCTGCGGGGTAGCGCCGACGCCCGCCGTTGACCCCTGAAGCGGAGCCTCCCCCTCCCCACCTTTGACTTTGGACGCGATGACGAGCTGGGCGCTGGAGGCGGCGATCTCGTGGGTGACCACAATCAGCTCCTCAAACTTGCCCGTGCCTGCCACCAGCCGGTCGGCCGCGTCCCTGTCCGTAGATCGGGGCCAGGGTCAGCGGTGGTCAGTGCCCGCCGGACGGAGGTAGGGAGGGGGCACCGCCAGAAGCACGGAGCTCAACAATCCAGTGCGACTCGGTGGCAGCGATTTGCCGGCCACTCCGCCGGGTCCCGAATGACAAAAAACGGCAACCTTCTGAATAGCAGGTGGTGACGTTCCGCCAGATTCGTTCCGTCTGCCCAACAGCAACGCTCCGATCCCCTATCGAGGGCGGTGCGTGATGGTAGGGGGGGGGGGGGGGGGCGTCAGAGTGTGCGGAGGACAAACAACGTCCTTCTCCACGGACAGAGCGGCCGCGCAGAGACGGCTGACAGAACTGTGCGGTTTCAGAAGGGGCAACAGAGCCGGTGCGACAGAGCGCTCCCACCGCACGCCAGGAGGGTGCGTTAGGGCACTCTGGCTGCACGCCACGAGGGTACGACAGGGCACTCCGGCTACACGCCAAAAGGGTACGACAGGGCGCTCCCACCGCAAGCCAGGACGGTACGACAGGGCACTCCGGCTGCACGCCAGGACGGTACGACAGGGCGCTCCAGCTACACGCCAGGAGGGTGCGACAGAGCGCTCCCACCGCACGCCAGGAGGGTACCACAGGGCACTCCGGCTGCACGCCAGGAGGGTACGACAGAGCGCTCCCATCACACGCCAGGAGGGTATGCAGAGCGCTCCGACTGCACGCCAGAAGGGTGCGACAGAGCGCTCCCAACGCACGCCAGGAGGGTGCGACAAGGCACTCTAGCCGCACGCCAGGAGGGTGCGACAGACCACCGCCGACGGTACGTACAGCAGCGACTTGGCGCCCATGCCGACAGCCTTGGCCGCCGAGATGAGGCCCTCCGTCCAGCGGTGGTTGCGCTTGTAGAACTCGGTGGGCGACGCCGACCCCTGCGGCAGGCGCGACACGTGGCAGGCGGCGCCGGCGGCGGCTCCGCGCCCGCTGTCACCGCCGCCGGTGGCTGACCGCCCACACGGCACGGCGACGGCCCCGACCCCCCTCCCTCCCTTGGCGTTAGTGACGGCCGGCGGGCGCCGGCCCCGACGGACGGTAGGTGGCAAACGGCCCAAGTTGGCGCATAACTCAGGCGGCGGCGGTCGCGGTGCGACAGATACCGCGGTGGGGAATGATTTAATACGCGACGGCGCAGACGTTCCCGCTCGCCGACTGCTCGCGTCCGCGTCTTTTTTCTTCTCTTCAAAGTGGACCTGAATGAGCCATGGCCCAGTCTTCGACAGGACCCTGCCACCAACACCCCATGCCCATCCCTCAAAACCATGACCACAATGCGCTTGTACCCATGCGCATCACGCAAAAAAAAATATCAATGCGCATCAGCATTGATATCATCACAACTTGGCCGTCTCAAACACTAAATGGGCGTCACACAACACACAGCGTCACAGCCCGCACTCGGTCGTCGAGCCTGCCCTTCTCCACACCATGGACCACAAACTCCCCCCCCCCCCCCCCCCTCACTCTCCCAGTCGCCGCTAACCTTGCCCTGGGCGATGATCTCGGCCTGCAGGTCGCGGCTGCGCTGCACCAGCACCTTGATGGCGCGCATGAGGCCGGTGCACGAGTCCAGGATCTTCTCGCTGACCTCGAGCTTGACGCCCGAGTCGGCGGTGCGGGCGGCCATCAGGATCTCCTGCGGCGCCGGACGGATGTCAGACCCCGCCAGCCGACGCGCGGACCGAGGCAGCAGACCCCGCCCGCGATACGCACGCTCATTCGGCCGCCGGCTGGGCGGCAGCATAGCAGCTCGCCACGGCCGGCTGGCCGAACGCTCGCCGCTTGGGCACGTGCCGGCCGCGCACGGCGCGCACCACAGCAGTCAGTCGACACCGCCCTCCCGCCGGTCGAGCAGCGAGACTCCCGGCCACACCCGCTCGGCGCGCACGCGCCATCCGCCGGCACAGAGCCGGTCGCGTCCGGCCCGCGGCGCCGCACCTGAATGCGCGCGGCCGCCGCCTCGATGGCGCTGTCCATGGCGGTCATCTCCTGCTCGACGAGCGAGGCCACCTCCTCGCCGCTGACGGCGCGCAGCGAGTCGGCCACGCGACGCGTCAGCTCGCCGAGCCGCGCCAGCTCGGCGCGCGCGGCGGCGGCCGGCGCGGCGCGCTCGCCGCCCGCCGTCCGCCAGCCGGCGAGCAGCTGGAGCGACGCCGCCGCCAGGCTGACGCACACGGCCGACATCTCTGCGGGCGGGGCGGGGAGTCAGGGTGCAGGCCGCATGACAGGGAGCCGATCACGAGCGGGATCCGATCACGGTCCGAGGTTCGCGACCGTGGTGCGGCGGTCACGCTACGCGCGCGGGAAAACAGAACAGGGGTTCGAGTCCGCACAGTGCCTGTCCAACCTGTCAGTAAAAGTGATGATTTGGGCTTTGGGGCGCATCGACTACGTTGGTCATATGGCGCAGTTACGATGAGAGGCGGGCGACGCCATACAGCCTCAGATGCTAAATGCATCGTAAAGCTTTAATCACAAGCCAAGGCTTGGAGAAAATGGGCGCAAACTCCTTCTCGCAGCAAACAGCATCTATTCCAAACTACAATCAATAAACAGACTCGAACGTAGTTAACTTGCTGGAATGCAGCAGCCTCTATCAACAAAGATGCAAACAAACAAGTAGCACCCCCTCCTCCGCCCCGAAGAGGGCCACGACGCACACCACGGAGCACCCGGCTCAGCCGAGCACGTCAGGGTAACCACAGGTCCTATCCCTGCGAGCCGCCGGCCGCCGCCGCGCGCCGCCGCGCCGCACCTTCGCCCAGCTGAATGTTGGGACTAGTGTTGGAGGTAGCCTTGCCGTGCAGCAGGAACTGCCCGGCCATGTGGGCGAACGAAAGGAGCCGGCCCAGCAGCTCGGGCCCGTCGCCGGCGCCCGCCACCGGCTCCAGCGCTTCCAGCAGCGGCTCGATCTGACCCAGCAGGTACTCTGGCGGACACGCGGGCAGCGCTATGTCAGCCGCAACACGGGACAGCCGGCATCGGTCGCCGCAGCTGACCGGCGAATGCTGGACACGACGGACAACGGGTGCTGGGTGAGAACGGCGGGGCGCAGGCCAGCATTAGACACGGGAGATGCTCTGGCAGACATGAGGGCACCGTGTGGTCACGGGGGGGGGGGGGGGGGGGGGCGGACCGTCACCACACACAGCCGGTACTAAGGCCCACACAGCGGGCGCTATGGGACTAGAGCGAGGTACAGCACCAGTGAGAGTTACGGCAGCACACATAACATGCGGCAACAGGGGACACAGGGGATGCTGTGGGACTGGAGCGAAGTACAGCGCCAATGAGAGACACGGTAACATACCGACAGGGGACGACAGGGGACACAGGGGATGCTGTGGGACTGGAGCGAAGTACAGCGCCAATGAGAGTCACGTTAGCATATCGACAGGGGGCGACAGGGAACACAGGGGGCGCTGTGGGGGGTCAGAACAAGGTATAGCACAATGCGAGTTAAGGCCACACACAGACAGGGGGAACAGGGGACACAGGGGACACTGTGAGACCAGAGCGAGGTATCATGGCACGACTCTAATCGATATAGGGGACCGCAGCAGCTACGTCACGTCTACGTCAGCTACGTCACGTCAGCTTACGGTCAACCACCACAGCTACGTCACGTCTGACTCACAGACACTCGGAGCCTACTCGGGCTGATGTACGCGACGGTGCACGGCAGTTACGGTTTGCGACATGCAGGTCACGCCATTCACACATCACATCATCACACACATCATCGCACCAAGCTTGTCATCGCAAAGCTCAGCTTTGAGCATTTAACTGCATTACAAAGGGGAAAACTTCGCACCTACAAACACCACACACATCAGCGTACATGACTCCGTTTATGGGAGAGATGTACGAAAATACGCCGTGAGATGTGAATGAAATCCCGCATGGACTAATTGTTAAGACTATCGTCCTCGTGTGGTATGTTACCACCTGCACAGACGTGGATGGTATTTCGAACAATGACCCTGTCCTTAATACTAATGCCTCGTTCCAATCTTCACGCAAAATGGTGCAGATGAAGTCCTGCAACTGAAGGATTATAAATTGTGCATGACGTCAAGGCATGCTATGTAGAGCATGTTCGAGACTGAGTGCGGCTGTCTCCACACACACCAAACCACGCGGACAACCCTATCTGCAACCAGCTAACTCTTCACACTTCAATCCATTAGCAAAATGCTGCTGTTTGTCTGCAATAATTCACTGAAATGATTGCGAGCTATCATACGGCCCGAGCACCACCAAACAGAGGGGGTGGGAGGGGGGGGGGGCGATGTTGCAGACATCAGGCCACCAAGGTCGCCTGCCGGACCACACTCTCACCTGGAGTGCACGTGACGGCCGAGAACATGGGGTTGTCGAACTCATCCAGCGAACGCTGCACCATCTGCTCAGCCGCTGTCACGCAGTCGACTGCGAACGGCACGGAGAGGCGTCAACACGGCGCACACCGCCGGACGGACGCACGCGCCGGGTGTGTCGTCGGCAGAGCGTGCACGGCTGCGGGGCGGTAAGCCACAGGCGCCGCGAACGACTACACATGGCCTAATCAGCGTGGGCTCTGCTGCAGTTTGCCGGAGACGCACGACGGCGTGTGGTTGTTCATGCTCACTCTTGCATTCCAACGTCAGTTGCGGACGTTTAAAAGTAAATATACAATGTTTCGAGTAATGCCTTTCGTCGTCCTCAGGTTTGAGCAGTCCTTGGACGAAGAGTTGTCAGGACTTTGTACTGAAACGAATTATTTACACCTGGCGACGACAAAAAACCTTGATGGTAGCATTGCATATTTGCTTGATACAGCTGACGTGTTTTATTAAATATGAAAATTGGAGAGCGTTCTTTTAATAGCACAACTAGGTCTTAGGAATTAAAGTTAGAGTTAAACCAATTACGTCGATGTCACAAGTAACACATTTTGGGGTTATGCTAAGACGTGCTCACCTCATGCCGGATCAACATCTGTCATCCACACCAACTAAAGCAGTGAAATCACACTATTCCCCTCACCCCTTTACACCCTGACCCTGAGCCGTGCCTTCCCCTCCCCCCCCCCCCCCTGTCCTCCAGCGAGTGATGAACACGCCACCGAAGCTCCGCGCCGCCCGCGGTACCGGCCGTGCTTGCGCCGCCCGATCGGTGGTGCGTCGGCTGACTGACCAGAGTGCGCTGAGCGCGGTCGGCCTGCTCGCGTCGGTGGCGCGCCCGCTCGGCCTCCAGTTCAGCCTGCAGCTGGCGGGCCGCGCGCCTGCTGCTCGTCGCGCTCCACCTGTGCCAGGCTGGCGTGCGTGGTCTGCTCCTGCAGCTGGCCCTCCAGCGCCGCGCACCGGCTCCGGGACGTCTGCAGCTCCGACTGGCCGGCGGCGCGCGACGCCGTCAGTGAGGAGGGCGGGAGTGGGGGGGGGGGGGGGGGGGGAGAGCAGGGCGTAACACTGCACTGAGACCATGGCCACCAGCCCGGAGGGAGAATGCAATGACGAACAGATGCGGATGTTTTTCGGAAGAGACTGGGTTGTGAGCACGTCGCTTAAACACATGCTCGATATTCAGATGCAACTAGATCAGGCGGTGTATTAAATAGTACCTCCCACTGAAAGGCACAGAATGCTCAAACGCTGGACCCTAACAATTAACAGCAGACATGCTGATACCACTATAACCAACCGCCCAGCTCACCCCCGACCACCATACGCCACAGGCTAACCGGCGTCTGTCCGGTCCCGTCGTCCCATTTGCAGCGCGGCGTCCGTCGCGTGCGCGCGCGCCGCTCACCTGAATGGCGGCCAGCTCTGCCGAGCGCGCCTCCGACCGCTGCAGCTGCTCCTCGGCCACGGAACGCTGCTCGCTGAGGCTGCTCAGCTGCAGCTGCAGGTCGGCGTGCGCCAGCTTCGTCTGCTCGCGCGCCCTGCTGCTCCGAAAGCACCTGCTGGTCCACCTCGGCCTTCTGGCGGATCAGCCGGATGTGCTCCTCGCGCAGCTGCTGGTACACGCCCTTCATCTTCTGGAACTTTTCGTCGGCGGCGCGCGCGCTCTGGCTGGCTGCGGCGGCGGGCCGTCTCCACGCTGGCCGACAGCCGCGCCTCCAGCTCGGCGCACCTCTCCTGCTCAGAGTGCAGCAGGCTCTCCCGCTCGCCTAGCTGCAGCTCCACCTGCTCGGCGCGCGCGCGCAGCGCCGCCGCCTCCTGCTGTCGGGCCAGCAGCTGCTGGCGCAGCTGTTCCTCCACGTCCGGCCGCGGCGGCGGCGGTGGTGGCGGCCCATCCACAATTTCCAGCGTGTCTCCAAATCTGCGAATGGCACGAGCGGCGCCCTCAGCAGAGCGCGCGGCCGCACCGGGCAGCTGACGCGCTCATGACGTCACAACCGCGCCCGAGGCTCTCCGCGCATTCTATGGGCAGGCATATGGCTCGAGCAGGTATCTGGGTAACATCTCAGGGTCGACTGACACTGCCAACTCGCTCACGCCTGCGCTGGAAGTACTGTGTAAATTCAGTCGCGATGGACCAGCGTGGACAAAAGTGAAGAGAACAGAGATCGGCTCTTATCCGGCCGCACGACGACCACCGATAGATGCCGACGTAAGGCATTCCCGACAAACGTGTCGCTGACCTGTCGGAAGGCCCGACTCCGACATGTCGACTAGCGGGTCCGCCTCCTCCTCCTCCTCCTCCGGCAGAATCACAGCCGCCTCCACCTGGTCACCTCCGCTGGCACGCGCGGAAGAAGTTGGGGCGGGCTCTGCCGGCAGCCAGAAGACCGTCAGCGGCGCCCAGCGGACGGCAGACGCACTGAAGCTTCGCACAGCAATGTTCAAGACTTGATGTTGAACTGCCGTGCATAACTGGACGTGGTATGCTTGGAAAGTCTGGACACGAGCAACGTTGAGCCAGTTACACCCGCTACGGCGAATTTGTCGCAGATTCTCGAACGTGAATTGGCTTTGTTCTTCGTTAGGGGGAAGCGTTTAAGAAATGACTGGACGACGGCAGCTAAAGGAAGGATGTCGGTTACATTCCATGTGAGCTGCTCATACCAAACTGGGGACGCCGCTGGGCTCAGTTGATGAGCGCCATGCGTTTTCGCCGACTCGCTTTCGTTGACCTTCAGTGACATGTGTCGCTCAGCTCCAAACTCCATTCCTCCTGTTTTTAACCCAAATTTGTTACATTTGAAATACTCATACATCAGAAGCGAATTGGACGACCTAAATTATACAGTTCTATTCTGTCGATATCAGCCTGATGTCTCTAGCAATCATACATGTATAGCTAAATTAAGCATTTAACTAGACACACAACGTGGGTTAAGGGTAGGTTCCGCACCTCTTTAGCCTATTACGACACAATTTTAACTAAAGCGGCCAACACACTTTCGGTCAGCAGGCTTTTACCAATTAAATCAGGCAATCAGAACCTACTTGTCATCGAAAACTGGCAAACGCTGAAGCATGACAAAAACATATTGCAAACCGCAAATCTGTCCCATTGCAGTTTACGAACACAGCAACTCCCATTTCAAGCAGTTATTGTTAACATGGCACCTGCCATATATTTTCGGGCAGATACGACAGAAGTACCTGTTCAAAACAATTCCTTCTGACACTTATGAAGATTTGAAGAGCCTGTAAGCTGCCAGATGACCCATGTTTCCTACTCTGACACATTTATATGATGCATGGGCACCCCTCATTGCTGACGACGGCCTGGTAATGCCAGTGTCTTAGAAAATATTGTGTTTTACCATAATTTGTCGTTGGATCCAAAAATGTTAAGCATATCCCAATTCTGTTGCTGTAGCACAGCATGCTGATGCTGGCCTTCTGACTGGGCACAACTAGCTGACAAATAATGAAAGCTCAGTTCAATCTGCGAGTGGATAATTTGACAACTTGGTGGTCAAGTGCTGGCAGAAGCAACACATTTGAGTTCTGTTATGTTGTTACATATCATGCTATACAATACTAACACTGCATGACCATATTTTGACGAGTTTCAACCACAGCAATATTTGTAAAGGAAATATTAGCATACAAAAAGACTGGCTTCTCGGAGTATATCTGATAACGGCGGGGATACGGCTCCTTCCCAAACCTTGGAAAGTTGTGATGCAATAAATTGGCATAAGGCCCAAATTATTCCCCAGAACTGAGTTACATCACTGATCAAAGTGAAAGGTTTCCAAATGGCTCAGTCAGGACATGGAAATGGAGGACAATACTTGGCAGATTCAGATGGTGCATCTAGCTTTTCCAACTGCACTTTTATAACCCTAACACTCTGCTACCAATGGTGTTTTGACCTTGGCATCCAACATACCTCAGGCAACTGTGGCACCTGGATTAGCGTCTTGAAGTACTGCAAGTTGGCCGACTTGTGGTAGAACTGCTTCAGCGAGGCGAACAGCTTGTTGAAGCGCTGCCGGTGTCCGGAGAGCAGGTCCGGCGGCAGGACTGTAACAGCACGGCGCGCGCTGCCAGCGGCCCACCCAGACGGCGCGGAGCTCCTCCGAACACCACGTCCGCGGCGTCTGAGAGACCCCTGCTCCGCAGCGATCTCCCAGCAGAGAGACGCGAGTCGAGCGCGTCCGTCCCGACCCCCCGAAGATGAGTCTGACGCCACTGTACGCCAGTTGCGCTATCCATAAGATACATCGATAATATCTGTGGTTTCAAATTCCCACTGGTCATCACGCTGGCATAGGAGCCGAGGGGTCAAACAAAATGACAGAGGGAGAGAGAGAGAGAGGGAGGGAGGGGGAAAGAGAGAGAGAGAGAGGGGGAAAGGGAGAGAGGGAGGGGGAAAGGGAGAGAGGGAGGGAGAGACATGAGAGCGCACGGAACAAGAGCAGTGGGCTGAGAAAGCGCACGCGGGGCGATCTACGTCAGCCGCACCCCGTGCCGAGGCACTCACTGGAGTGCAGCTGGAACATGATCTTCATGGAGTGGTTGTAGAGGGCGATCGAGTCCTGGATGCACGGTATCAGCGGCGCCAGGCGGCACTGGCCCTCCTTGGTCATGGACGACGAGCGCGACATGTCCAGCGAGCCGAACACTGAAACGCGCGCGCGCCATGCCGTGACGCTGGCAACGCCGCGCTCACGTCAAGGCGAACACGGGGGCGCGGGTACGGACACTGCCGAATGGCAGAGCGGAGCCGGACGGGTCCACGAAGCTCAACGGCACGACTTCGGCGTGCGGCGCGGCACGTTGCGAACTGAGGTCGCCACGTGATCCATGGAGCGATCATATTCGCAGCACACGCTTAATAAAATGCAGTTCAGTTCAGTGCAATTTAGAAGTTTAGAGGTGGTGACTGACTGACCACCGCAATCTCGCGAGTTCGACAGTCGCCAGGTACCATGTTGGGCCTTCCGGTGCAACACTACACAAAATATTGGAACACCTGAATAGGCTTTGCAGTCGTTAAATGTCGTTGCACAAGATAAACTTCGTTGCAAACCGAGCAACACTGAAGCGCTGCACCTAAATCAAACACGGTTACCGGCCGAGACGTTCACAGGGCCCATCACCAAACGTTGCCGCACAGCCTGTTTCACAGCAATGGAGCCCGAGCGCAACATCCACGGACGGAAGGCTCTCGGGTGGGCAAAGTTCCGATGAATGCCACAGCAGCCGGCGACCGGGTCGTGCCGGTAGGCGGGACCGAACACCGCAGTCACCCACCGGCTGACTGCATGGTGGCGATGGCCTCCAGGTAGTCTAGGATCTCCACGGCCATCTCGAAGTAGTTGTTGGGGTCGTTCTCGCCGAGCCGTTCCAGCTCGTCCTCGCTGAGCGTCAGCGTGCCCGGAAAGCCATGGTACTTGATGTGGAAGCGCAGCTTGACCAGCAGCACCTGCATGTAGCTCTGGATCAGCTTGCCGTAGGCGTCCGGTAGGTGGCCCTGCCAACAGAGAAGCCGACACTGCAGAGATGCGATGGTGGAGGTCAGGCAGCTGTCATGGGGTCCAGGTGGAGCTCATGATGGGGACCGGCTGAGGCTGTAAAGGGAAGGTCACATAGAAGTTACTGTGGAAATGAGGTCACGATCAAATGGTGATTGGAGGCTGTTATAACGCAAGTATCACGTGGAGGTGGAAGCAACTCACTCAACAGGCATACACCGAGTGAACAACGAAGAAAGTGCTGACGAAGCGAAGAGCGATTTGCGGGCCAAGGGGACAGGTCGAAGCTACACAGGGCACGAACTGGAAGCGATAGCATCGGTCGAAGATCCACAGCAATGACATCCCACCCGGACCTGCACCGACCGCACGAACAACCCGAAACATCCGAGCAACGTCACCACGGGCGGCGTAACCGGACCGCGGCACCAGACCACGGCCCAAATCGCACACTTCTAGCCTTCTCGGAGCGCGACCACAAGGCTCCACGAGCGGCCGCGCGGCACGCGTCCGCCGGCGCGGCCAGTGCGGCCCGACGCGGCCTGCAAGACGTACCCAGAAGGTGGCGAGTTCTCGCAGCATGTTACGCCGGCTGTATGATTCACGCATCGTGTTGCGGTACCCCTCACGCAGCACCTTGTGCAGCACAAGGCAGAACTTCCAGCAGGTGATGGGGTGTTCCTGTAGCGGCACGCGCTCGGCCAGCGACCAGAAGGTGTGCGCGCTGTGCTCGTGATGCGTGCCAATGATCAGAGCACGCACGTGCTTGGTTTTGACCGGCATCTCCTGCGAGCTGGTCGCCTTCGAAAAATGCGACATCTGTGGGAAGGAAAAATTGGCTACATAATAAAGGTGTGCTGCTGAATCTACTATTTCTGGAATGCTGGGTCAATAAATGACTGATTATTATCAAACCACATGCAGCAAAATAAATCACTCACACTTCAAGTAAGACCACATTGTGTTTTTTTCTTGAACAGTACCTGAGTTTTTTCAAACTCTATCCTCTGGGCGTCTAATGATGAGGTTGCTCTCCTGTTCAGCAAAGCCCTCTGCACCTGTCTTGCAGCCATGATAAATGGCTGACCTGGAAAAGGGACAGCATCATTTGGAGGGAACACATTGGTGGAAGGTTAGTCCTTCTTGACAAGTTTAACTTATCCACTTTGTCCTTTGAATTCAAGTGTTCTGGTCACAATAGTTATTTCATCTGCTGGAACAGCTTTGACAAAAATATTCAACCCCTCCCCCTTATAGGGTGATGACAAGGAATAAACATGAATAATTGCCAACTGCAGCTACAATAGATGATGGCAGATAACACATCTCCATTGAATTGGGTCATTTAATGATCTTGTGAGTTTCACCCATCTCTTTTCCCCTTTTGTTCTTGAGGGAAGAGGGCACAGCACCCTGCAGTGTTCCTTTGTGCAAATGTTCTGCAAATTGTCACATTTCTGCCCACTTTCCTCCTGCTCAAGTGTTTTGCTGCTTTTGGACATCACATACAAAATAAGATACATCATATACAAAATTTGGCATTAATATGTGATTGTTTTTATCTTCAGGCATTGCCTTGCCTTGCACACATGGTTCTTGGCATGCTTTTAGAGTTCAGATTGCTATCAGTAAGAGTTTCACAATGGGCATGCATTGTAGCCCTGAAGGACTCTGGTAGGAATCAAGTTGACAAAAGTCTTACAGCAATTTTAGTTTCATTAATTTAAGAACAATCAGATGAATAACAAAAACAAGCAAATATGTATTAAATCTGATCATATACTTATATGTGAACATCCAGATTTTGTGGCAAAATGGGACTGGTTATGTGCCAGGGGCATGGTCAATCTTATACTCAGATGTCACCTGGCCTTGTATGTACAGGGTCTGATCTACCACAATACAAAACATGAATAGTTGGAACTGAGAAAAGATACAAATGTAAGAAGTAATGAGCTCCTCTTTCCTGGAAAAAATGATGTAATCAATCCTATCAGTGGGAGTAGGGACAGGATCAGAAAGATCTGGTTTGTATTTGGACTGAATGATTGATAGAGCTAGTGCTGGGCTGGGGTGAAGTGGAGTGATCACAGGTTATATTAGGTTGGGTGATATTCTGTTGTTTTGTGGAGCAATGGTAACTCCCCTGGCCACCTGCACTTTTTATATGCTTAATTCAAGTCAAAGTACCATTAGTGTCAGTTAGTTAAGTACACTGTATCACCTGGGTCATTGCATTTAAATTGAAATGCCCATAACATTTGTGTACTACCAATTTCACTGTGCTATGGAGTGCTGCAGTAGTACATTCACAGGATCATGCACAAGGGGCAGGGACCTGATGCCATATGGCAGCCCATAAGATTCTGACATGCATACAATGTAAGCATAAGAATAAATGCCTATCATCAGAACAAAGCAAGTTAGTTAAAAATATGCAGATTGTTGATGACTTGAAATGTTTTTTATTAAAATTTACCTGCATGCAGCAAATAACAATGTTTTTTTGGTAGCAAATTAAGCTGTGCCCTGCCTCGCTCCCCCAACGTCAATTCCCACACATGCCCCTGTGCAGCTAGACCTGACCTGACCTGTTTCAGGCACTGTTACATTCTGAAAACTGTGGGACACACATAATTCATGTCTCAAGAACATACAGATATCTTTCTTGCAGGATGTGACTGGGGGCTTGCTTTCTGACAATATGCCACAGGGCCAAAAAGGGAGGGACAAAATGGGACAGAATGGTTAAAACTACCATCAAAATACAGGAAAGCAGGTTTCTCTCTCCAGAGATGGTAACTTTGTTCTAAAAGATGGAGGAAACTGTAGCCTCCAAATAAATAGAAACCATATCTCTGGACGTACCATATATCTTTACACAGAATATCCACTTGTGAGCAGAGTGCAACACCCAACAAAATTAGGAAGCCATCAATCTAGTTGCAACACATTTTGTGCACATTTTCTTAAGTGTGTAAACAGGCGGGTGATATTGAGGCAAACATCAGGCTGGTTCTGGAAATCTGGAACATGAATTTCTTCATTGGAGTAGGCTATTTTACTTTGGGGTAGCTCATGGTACCTTGGGTCAGGTAGTAAAATGGAACAGAGATCTGGTGGAACTAGCAGGCACAATTTATCACATAAAAAGGGAAGGAATGCCACTCTATAAAGGGAGCACAGCCATTGTTACAAATGCTTTAAGACCAAGCAGCTGGAGCTATATCACATTGCCTGCCTCTCACCATGGCAGGAAGGGCAGGCACCCTAGGGAATGAAACCCCATACCTTTGGTTTTCCAGATGCACAACTTAACTTCTTGAATACCAGTACCCTAACTAATCTATCAGTAACTAATCTTGACTACCAGTACCCAAGGTAAGGATGACCCAAAGACCAACTGCCCTATCTTAGCCTGTCTGGTTCTATACATGGATGCTGCACAGATGCAAGCCTTTTTGCTCCCACCAGTCATGTGCCTGCACTTAACAGGCAGACCAGTCACAAACAACTGTGTGCCAGTCTGGCCCAGTATCTGCATGACAGCTTCAAATCTGTGAGTTTTTATCACTGACACTGCACAATGTTTGACACACTTCTTCCTAATATAAATTTTAGGTAAAGCTGTGATGAAAAATGTTGGATGGCAAATCCAGTGAAATTCTTATTTTTCTTGTATGTATTGGGGAAAAATGCAGCTCGTAAATAAAGATAGCACCATTACAAAATCTTGGCGACCCCTAGTCCTCAGAGCGCAGGCCCCCGCCCAAGAGAGACATTGGCTTCCACATTTGAGGCGGGACCGGATCTGCCCGGAACATCCTGTTGACTGGTGTGCCGCAGTTTGCACACTGGTAGATAAGATGGCCCCTTTCTACCTAGATAATGGGGTGACTAGCGGTTACACGTGAAAACGGAATGATGCGCGTTGCTGCGCTCCGCACCTAGTCTCACACACGACCGAATCCCCTCAGTCCCCGGGCACCGAGCAGCTAGCACCACCCTACTCATAACCAATTTAAATTGAAGGAAATGTTCAAGTAAACTCCAAGTTGTTTCAACGTCAAACTCAAATTTCACAAAAAATCAAACACTTTTACCGCCAGGACGCAGCTTCCAGGTATGTACTTACCCAATAGGGACACCCGCAGCAAAACGCGCTATCGAATAGCTCCTCGGGCGGAACGCTCCAAACCCTGGCCCCGCAGGAAAATGAAGCTCTCGCAGAAAAGTAAACACCGGAAACGGTCAAAAAATGGCGCACTAGCTCGTAAAACGGCGAATCAAGTCCCATTACTTGACTGCCATTTGACCGGCCTAAGCACATATGACTTGGACAAATCCTGCCAATTGTTTCAAGTGTCTGCCGTTTCAGTGAAGGTCGCAGGGCACAAATTGATTAACCGCCTAAGGTGTGAGGCACATGTTTTATGACATAAGGAACTCCCCATCTTAACACATTTGCTCGTTCAATGGCTGTTCCTGTTGTCTGATGCTGTCCAGCTCATTCACCACAGCGGTCTATGATCCATCGTCATGCTTAATTAAGTGACTCATTTCGTAGTGCTTCACACGTTCATCTCATTGAGCCCGTAGCACGGCACATACGTACAGCCACACCTTCTAAGAATGTTCAAGATATTAGCAAAACTGGTCGCAGAACAATGAAGCAAAGCACTTCAAAGCAAGAAAAAGGGCTGCAACTTTGGCACAGTATCTGATAATTTGTCATCCCTTTGTAAAACGTCGTCACACCACTTTTATGGAACACCAGCGGCTGTATTGACAATGTAAGTGCACAGGACAGGGATGGATCCAGGATTTCGTCAAGGGAAAGGCTACGCTTCGCTATGGCGCCCCTGGAACGTGCTGTCCTTCGCTCCTCTCACAACAATGTTCCAGGATTCCGACCACCTTACTTTCATATGCTTGCGTTTTAATCGGTCAAATATCTAAAATACATTAAAGGAATGATCTACCAGATTGAGTCCACTTTATCTTTCGAGGTAATTATTCCGATTTCTCATGACGAACTTGAAGATTTGGGACCGTTTGTAGTACCCCTGAACATTAGTTTGTCTTGAAAACAAAGGTTATGTGGACTCGAAATAAGGATTTTGGTGCCCCTTCGGCCCAAGAGAAGGAGACCCCATAAATGTATCCAAAATTAGTTGTTTATTGTGCAATTTACGTCACTCAGGGACACTTTCCAGCGTCCTAGTGTTGTTGGGAAGTTCCTTCACGTGTTGGCCAGAGCCCACATATGGCTCCAATGGCCTCCCATGCAGATCGTTTAACATATGGATCGATTAAATCCTTTCTAGAACCTCCCTCGACACATTTGCATCGACCAAGTGGGATTCTCGAGGAAAACATGCCAAGTTGGTGTCAATCATTGTTCATACCTTACGTGTAGACAAAAATGAGACATTTAGGTTTTCATAGACCTTTAATCTACCTCCGGAAGGCTAAACTCAAGTGGAGGAACGCGTACATATTTCTAGTCCAGCGAGATTATCAAGTTACACGGCATAGCATACCCTCAGCCGACCATATCTAAGGACGTAATGCGATAACCACAAGTCATTTTGTCTCTGAAAGCTCCAAAAGGTAAGTTTTTAACAATTTCTTAGCGTTCTATGCAATGTTAATGACATGTCATTCGGAAAGTGACCTTAGGTCACGAGACATGCCCCGTGATGCCTGACTATTCGACAACACCACGCCAAATGCTGCATAATGTATTGGCGCAGCTTACGAAATTGATATTTCATCCGCCTGCAAACGCTTTGCTGTTGAAGGACGGCTTTTGGCTGCTGAGCTCGCTCCGTCGTCAACCGGTAGCATCTGCTCTGTGCACGTCACGGGAGATTCTACACACACGCACACACAGAGGGAACACAGGGATTCTCTACGGTCATGGGTGCCCTTGTACATTGGGATGATATTAAGCCACGCCAGGGGTGTAGTGTTCTATCCAGTTGGGGCAGGTGGGAGGGGGTCTGCAGGTCCCATCCCACCCAACTTGAGCTCCAGACCCCCAGTTTTGTGGAGAAAGTGGGTCAAATTTAGGAACAAACTTGTCTGTCGGCAAATTTTGCCGGTAGTTTCCGTCATTTTTCACTGTCCAGCCCCCCCCCCCCCCCAACCCCACCCAACTCATTTTGTGAAACTACGCCCCTGTGTAGCGCTATACACTGCCCCTGCCCTGGTGACCAGGACAGCATTCACAATTAGCACATTATTTCAGTTTCATTTTATGGTCATGACCGTTTGTTTCTACCTTGCCAAATGAGTTGTTTAGGTTATAGTAGGTGCTCATGCACACAGGCACGACAACACCCACCTAGGTGCTCAGGGGTTACCTAAAGCACCCACCTTGAGACCTGGGGTAGAAGGTGTAGGTTGTCAAATTCATGTAAGAAACTTACGTTGTGCCTGGAAAATACTTGCTTAATCTTTGTGCGCCAAAAAATGCGAAGTCTTTTTTAGTTAGTATGTTTGTGCTCCAAGCCGCGTGGTCAGCCGAATATGCAGCGGTCGTTCGACGTTCCCAAATTGTCGGACTATGGACGACGAACTGTCGCTGTGAGATAATTCGAAATGTCGCTGTGAGAGAGCTCGAGGTGAGAGCCCAGGTAGGCGCTCGGAAAGCTTGGATTAAATCCCAAAGATAAATGTTGAAGCCTTGATAAGCTCCATCGGCTTATGTTTGATAAAACACGCATTATACATAACTGTGAAAGACATAAGTCTCATTGACGAAAATGCCAACAAATCTTGCGGTTCAACAAAAATAATGACAATCCGTTCCAGTCATGAGTCATCTGATGTTGATACGGGGAGATATATTTCATTTATCGTGGAAGCGTCCACGAGGGTATTCGTCGACGTCTACATTACGAAAGGAACTTCATCCCAAAATCTGCTGAAGAAATACGTTGCCTGCAGTGGATTGGAAACAAGCCAAAGATTGCTGAAAACCATAAGTTGTAAGTGTAGTGAACAGAATGCGGTTGGAGACTTACATGAAAATTGTAATTTCACTCGGGAAACTTGAGCTGCAGGGCACAGCAGAGGAGCGGGATTGTGCGACCCCCCCCCCCCCCTCCCCCCAATAAGGCTAGGACGTTTACTTTTTCACCAAAGAGGGCTTCCGACTGAAAATAAAAATCGGCGTGATGCGCGCTCACCGAGCTCCGGGTCCTTGACTTAGCAAAATCCTGGCAGTGCCGCTGTACAGGAATTGACCATTCGCACCATTCCACTCACGACACGCCACTCCACTCACATTATGTGAACGCAGTAAATGTACGGTCTCCGCGTATCATGGACACCTTGAAATAGTCTGTTCAACCAAGGGAATATTAAGCATGACAGCGCACTTCAATCATGGAAAAGACTTGTGACATATGGGATGGGTTCTGAGTAAGGATACATCAAGATGAAATGTCATCGGGATGATGCTTTTTCAACATCCCCTGAATCACATTGACTTTGGAGCATAATAATGTCTAGATCTATGCAATAGCCATCAACCCATGTCAAAGTCGAGAAACAACGAAGGAGGACATGCATGTGCACAATAATTTCCTGAGCAGGGTCGTGGTCTCCAGGGGACTCACGACGGGCACCACAGTGAAGTGATCACATGCTACAGCAGCTCCACATCCTCACAATATCTCTGTTGCATTTTCGCAGGGCTTCTCAAGATATGCTTTTGTATACTGGAAACAGCGATGTGAAATAAAGCGCAATTCAGACGCTCTTAATTCATGCTTTTGCCAAACATCCGGGGATCCAACGGGCTCGTACTGAACCCCCACACCCATCTCCCCAATCCCCGGAGGACAAGCCCGTGCGCCTACCTCTGTGTGCTTCTCTGAGAAGGTGTGGGGTTTGAGGTCCCTCACGCAAGTGAAAAGTTTCAGCTATGTGTTCAGCCGTCCTAAAGCTACGGCAAATCGCAGAAAGTTACTCATACGAAGGGAATTTTGGCGGACCGGGTGGAGGGGGGCAATAGGTTTACACTGACTGATAACATCACATGCTACCAGTCAAATGAACGCTTTCTTAGTTACAAAGAATTGATAATAGGTTCTGAGATCGAAGACTGTAAAGTATTATCCGTGGTTAAGGCATAACTCAGGGTCTCCCGGTGATGCTGGTCACTCGATTTTGAAGCTGCAATGAAGCTGCGTGCTGTTGGTCGGACGCGGGGTGTTTTAAAGGATTCGGACAAATGCAGCGCTTTTTTCTCTCTCTTTAGATTACGGACTATCACAGAGGCGGTGTTGAAAAAGTGTGGCGTGAGAGGTCATAACCTTGCACTGTAGCGGGGACGGTGAAGTACTACTGTCACCGACTTTACTGACGAAAACCAGCGCTTCTTACACTGGCTTTGTGTGAAATTAATTCATGCGTTCATTAGTGACAGCACTTCTTCTGTACGGCCTGTTTCTTTGCAAACCCTCTTTTCTACGTTCATATTTATTCTGTCCCAGACAGCTACCTACACAACATTGGTCTACGCATCCACCTGCCAGTGGGAAATGACACTACGAGGCCAAGCTTTAGTGCCACAGACACAACTCGCCAGTGGTGAGCACGGCGATCGCAAATCAGCACGCGAAGATTAACGCACTCCACAAAACCGCTCCAACTTAAAGCTTCCGCCAAAACTGGGCGGTGCACGGCGGCGGCGGCTGGCGGGCGTGCACTGCGCACGCGAATACACAGACCACGGGTGCACTGAATGCATCACGAGGCATCACGAGCTTCGACGCAGCCGCGCCGCCGCCTGCTGGACATCGAGCTTAGCAGCCGAGGCGCCGCTGCCATTCACCGGCGCGCATGGCTTAGCGGAGACGGCGAGCACCCGACACGCGAGCAATGACTGCTCGGACGCGTCGGCACGGCCTGCCGCGTGAGAGGCGCACGTCCAGGTCTCACGCGTGCTGGCCCGAAGGGCCCGGCCGGGCGTCGCGGTCGGTGGCGGGGCTCGAGCCGGGGCCAGGTGCGGCGCCGCGCCCTCCGAGGCCGACGACTGAGCCGCCCCGTGCGGATTACTGCCACACGGGCGCCGCTTCCGAGAAGGTCTTAGCCACGGCAACCGAGAGGAGGACGGCGCGGGCCGGGCCGCCGCCGCCGCCGCCGCCGCCGGCCCGGATGTCGGATGTCACCGGCAGGGTCGCCGCCGCCCGGAAGCAGAGGGCGGGGTCATTGTGATCAGGGGCGGGAGAGGGAATCAGAAGTCAGGTACGAATGGAACCGCCAGAGGTCAGGCCAATGGAGTCAGGAGCAGATGGAACCACCGGGATCACGTCAGGCAGAATCTGCTGGAATCGCTCTCAAGCGGAACAGTTCCGAGACAGAAGCACGGATTACAGGCTCGGACCGGAACCAGGCGCGAAGGTCAGGAGTGCACGGTATATACCCCGATCAGGAGGGTAATGGTCATCTACGATCAGGAGCAGGCATGCAGGGCTGTCTGGGATCAGGATAGGCATATGGCTCAAGCAGGTTTCTGGGCAACACCTCAGGGTCGACTGACACTGCTCACTTGCTCATGTCCGCGCTGGAAGTGCTGTATAAATTCAGTCGCGCTAGACCAGTGTGGACGAAAGTGAAGAAAACAGAGATCGGCTCTTATCCGGCCGCACGACGACCAACGATAGACGCCGATGTAAGGCATTCCCGACAAACGTGTCGCTGACCTGTCGGAAGCGCCCGACTCCGACATGTCGACTAGCAGGTCCGCCTCCTCCTCCTCCTCCTCCGGCAGAATCACAGCCGCCTCCACCTGGTCACTCCGCTGGCACGCGCGGAAGGAGTTGGGCGGGCCCTGCGGACAGCCAAAAGAACGTCAGCGACGCCCAGCGGACGGCAGACGCGCTGAACCTTCGCACAGCGATGGTCAAGACTTGATTGGAACTGCCGTGCATAACTGGACGTGGTATGCTTGGAAAGTCTGGACACGAGCAACGTTGAGCCAGTTACACCGCTACGGCGAATTTGTCGCAGATTCTCGAACGTGAATTGGCTTTGTTCTTCGTTAGGGGAAGCGTTTAAGAAATGGCTGGACGACGGCAGCTAAAGGAGGATGTCGAGTTGCATTCCATTTGACAGGACATCTTTCGCCGACTCGCTTTCGTTGACCTTCAGTGACCTGTGTCCCTCACCTCCAAACTCCATACCTCCTGTTTTTAACCCAAATGTGTGGTATTTGGAACACTCATAGATCAGAAGCAAATCGGAAGAAGTCAGTTATGCAGTTCGAATCCGTCGACATCAGTCTGATGGCTCTAGCAATCATGCATGTAAAGCTAAATTAAGCGTTTGACTAGACACACAACGTGATTATAACAGAAGTACCTGCTCAAAAACAATTTCTTGTGAGACTTATGAGGGCTTGGAAGAGCTTGTAAGCTGCCAGATGATCCATGTTTCTTACTCTGACACATTTACATGATGTGTAGGCACCCCTCATTGCTGATGAGGGCCTGTTAATTCCAGTATCTTAGAAAATATTGTGTGTTGCCATAATTTGTTGTTGTATCCAAAGCTGCCAAGTGTATACCAATTTTGTTGTATCACAGCATGCTAATGCTGGCCTTCTGACTGAACCCGGCTAGCTGACAGAAATAGTAAGCGCTCAGTTCTTAAGTGAATAAGTTGACAACTTGGTGGTCACCAAAAAGACTGGCTTCTCGGAGTATATCTGATGAGGGCGGGGGATACGGCCCCTTCTCAAACCTGGAAAGTCGTCATGCAATAAGTTGGCATAAAGCCCAAATGATTCTCCAGAACTAGGCTACATCATGCGATGTGCTACCATCTACGGTAGCGGACCTATATTTTAGTGACAGCTTCCCTTTTATATCGTTTGCGTTCGGTGGCGCACAATGCTTGTATATTGCCGCATGACGTGGGGTCTGGAAGATAGACGAAAAGGACGAGCATAATATATGACGTTTAAGACCAATTAATGATAAATAAGACTCGGACACGATACCACATGGTGGCAGCGGGGCGAGACCACATTGCAGCACAATCTAAAAAGGAGGGAGGAAATATCTAGTAGCGATGGGCCAAATTAAGAGCTTCGATGGTGCGCGTCACGTGCGCCGCAACCGCCGCAGAAAACAAAAAATGTCTGATTCTTCATACCTCGCATGGATTGGAAGGCTGCTGACCAAAGCCTTGCCCTAAAGCTCTTCAAGCAGAAATGTGAACTGTTTTTCTCAGTGAAAGAAATAAAAAAGAAAAACAATTGGCAGTGTTGGAAATTCCAAAAATTTTCCTGGTAGTCGAGTACACATTTTCTGTAGTGGAGTACAATATTATCCAAGTGCTGCAGGTCATTGCAGCTTTATTTAGGTTATCTTTGTGAGTTAATAGTACAATAGGTGGCCCTCAACAAAAGCACCGCTTTTTGCTTTCAACAATTCTTGTAAAATCACTTTAAATGGAAGGAAACATCAGTATTAAACATAGTACACTGAAGCAACACATACTCATACTCTGTACTCTGAAACACATGTGCATATACATTGGTTTGCAATTTATGGAAGGCTCTTTGTTTACACTCCTCAAAACGGAGGACCATTACGTATCGGGCTTATGCACTCTTCAAAGTGGAGGGTGGCTACACACCGGGCTTATATACCCTCAAAAATGGAGGATGGGACACGCTACGCACAGCCAGACAAAAATGGTACGCAAAAATGCAAATGAACATGCCACAAACTGCTACCCTACTCATGCTCCACCACAATCACGCTACTCACGCGCCTCCACGGTCACGCTACTCACGCTCCATCAGCTAACTGGTTTTAAAAACAGCTGAACATTCATGCCCTCCACCTTCTCACTCCCGGTTAACACATGACGCCCTGCACGTCCCACCCGAGCAATAGAGACAGGCAGCACTCTTAACCGATTTACCGAGGTAGCGCAAGTACAATGCCTGACAGACCCGTGCAGACCGGCCAAAAGGGATCGGAGTCAGTCACTCCGCTGACTCCGGCGGATAATGCAAGGTATTAATAGATCTTGATGCGTTTTAACCGATATTGCGAAGCATGATAATTTAGGTCGCAATTAATGGATGTTTTGTCCTATTTAACCCTTCTCCTTAATTTTCCGGGCCAAAGTAATGGTTTCATGTTACTCTGATGTCCTGGTGTTTTTGTTGGAGTGAGATGGCTGTCTCCGAACAGTTTTTCGGCTATAGCAACGTTTTTCAATTTAAAAGGGTGTTTTTGTGAAGCCAGAACTACCAGCTTTAATTTTGCACCTATAAGTGACAAATTTAACTTGGTTTTAAATCCACAGCTGTCGTAGTATTTTTGTACTCCGGATACCAGGAAGTGGCCAAAAACACAACCACATGGCGGTTCTGGATCAGTACAAAAAAGTCCTTCATAATCGTGATGCCCATCTCTATACAGCTTCCCTTCAAATGTTTTACAAATCTGTTCAACGCATGAGCGCGAGCGGAATATTCATGCTCTTGACAAATCAGCCACGAGGAAGGCGAATCATTATAATCAATTGGAGGGTTTTGCTATGTTCAATCTCCAACCCGGACTGGGAGGCGGGGCGCAAGCCGCTGAATAGTTGAGACGTTTTCGGCGCTGAATTGCGAGTAATTGTCTTAGTTGCATTGCCTGACAACTCTGTGGTGGCGCGTGAGAAGGCGGGCCGTCTGCGGTAGGTGTTGGTCGTGCGGTTTTCTATGAATGTTCGTTGTATCCTTGGCAATTAATGCGGTTCGTCGTCAATGGTAGATTAAGGTCGTGTTCAAGCTTGAGTTGGTCTGTGTAGGGCATAGGAAGTGAGGGCTTTGCTAATCTACAGACCGGTGCAATGCTGGTACTCGTTTCTCATTTCCCGGTATGGTTCAAAGGCGATTCCATTCAACATTCACAACGCTTTTATTTTTCACAGTTCCATACATGGTTTATCATACACCTAGGTGGCAACCAGTGTCTGAAACTTGAGTGTTTCTGGTGTTTTTAACCCCAAAACATTTTGTCAGGGTCCTAGAATTGCCGACTTTGGGTGTCAAGCACCCCTATGGGAAGAATTTTTCACATCCTTTTCCACATATTTTACGTGAATTTTTTCACTCCTGCCAGGCATTGTCTAATCGCACATGCCAAACCCCTATTTCCCTTTCGAGCTTTTCAGATGTCATCCAAAACCGATCTGACTGAAACCACCAACATAAACGAGGGCTCCACAGAACCTGACACCTATGGCTATGTCCTTGCCTCGCCTACATCTGAATCATGTCTATGTATGCACAGAGCAAGGGCGCCAGGTAACCCTCCAAGCCCAAGGACCCCAGCGACACCAGCTGCTTGCACCCATGAAGTTTGGTTTGTTTACAAAATCATTCACAATCTGCAGCTGTACGCCAAATGCAAGGTTTTCACGCACCCCCTACTTTTTGGTCTCATCAGCACACCACGAAAGCAGAGACTGGTACAAACATCAACAAGACCTGGTAGAGAATTTTACTCCATGTTTTTCTTTTTTCCCGAGGAAACTTGACCACTAAATTGCATCACTCCCAAAATGCATGAGTGAAAGGTTCAAGAAATGTGTTCTAAATTACATTTACAAGATGAATATCACCACTTGAGTACTTTTTTAACAGATTTATAAGTCAGATCAGCTGATAACAAAATTTTGCGAGAGAAGTACCAGTGTTTATATTTAGTTACTTTAGTTTTTCTTGGCATCATACGAGTGTGATACCACTTTATTCTTCCTTCCTTTTCGATTGCCTTAAGAGCTACCAACTGCTGCTTAAAATTTTGACCAATTTCTCTGCAAGATGCTCCAACTGCAAACTTGTACATATTTCATACATGAATTGGATTAATTCGCCAGCCGCCCAAACATGTTTGATATGCACCCAAACGTGAACAATTCGCAGGGAATGAAGGAGGGCAATTTGAAGCACGAAACTTATTTTTACCGCCATTTGTGCCCTCTTAAACCCTCGGTTAACCGCTTTCTTGGTTCATGGCGGTGCTCATCATGATAAATCTAGGCCTTTCGAGTGTCCAACTCACCAGGCTACCTGGCAAGGCTATCCAAATGCTGCCATATAGAGCCTTGGGACAGACCTGACGCAGCTAATACAGAAGTGTTTCATGGCGAAATTCTGCTCTCTGGAGATGTTTATCATGCACACCTCTTACTTGTTTCGCATCTTAATCTCGTAGGTTGTGGGCATGATATTATATATATATATATATATATATATATATATATATATATATATATATTTGGGGGGTGAGTGGGATGACTCTGCCAGCAGACCATGCAAAAGGTACTGCCTTTTTTTTTTGGG